GGAAAATCGCGTTTATTTTAAAGATTCCAAACTCTGCAGAAAATGGAGAAGACAAGCTTCGACTAAAACAACAAGATTTGTTTTTCTTGGTATACATTTATTAATTAGTTTTAATCAAAAAAAATTTTTTGATTAAAACTAATTAATAAATGACGTTTTTTTTTAACTCTTTAATATGAACACAACATGCCTCGGGACTTGGTAGTCCCCTTAAGTGCTATAGTAAGCGACCGGGGTTGATATTTGACCAGGGCCGGGTTTGATAAAACATAGCCGGGGCCAGGTTTGTGACCGGGGCTGCATTAATATTGATATTCCTTATAAATATATTATTGTTATTTAAAATTCATGATATATTTTATATAAAGGTATATATATCATCGCCATTGTTATCGCTATTGTCATCATCATCATCATCTACAACATCATCATCATCATCATCAAGCATACAGTAGATGATGATGATTAAGATGATTCTGATGATGATGACAATGATCATCATCATCATCTTAATCATTGGCATCATTATCATCTTCTCTGATACACACTATAAATATAATTGCTACTCTCATACTATCTTTAAGATCATTGCTTTTTTCCTATCTTTTAAAGACACCATATATCCATCTGATCTACTTTGTTCTTTCCGAATGAAAGAACAAACAAACCAGCAACCTGGATATTCTAGAAAAGTCAGTGGCCATCATGTAATAATTTGATTATTTGAAATTTTTAAACAAAGTTAATAATTTCAAGAAATATTTAAAAATTGCTAACAATCAGGGTGTTTAAAATATCCTAAAATAAATTCACCTCAATTTAGTCTATTACAACTTAAGATGTATCAAACAGCACTTTTAAAGCAAAAATTATATGTGCATTTTACCTCTTTTCTAAATTCAGCCCTTTTTGTAAAACTAATTTAAAGGTCAGTAAAAATGTAGTGCTACAATAAAATATTTACAATAAAATTAAAGCAATATAGATTTAAAAATTTATTTTTTAAATATATTTAAAAAAATAATAAAATAAAAAATAACTATATAATTTTTCTATAATTTTAGCAAAGCTGAATTATTTTATAATTATTATTGCATTATTATTCCAAAAATTTTTTGCATATACAACCATTGTTGTAGATAGTGGATCAATAAAAAAATAAAATACAAAAATAAAAAAACAAATATTTTGCGTAGGCCAAAAAAAATTGGATTGAGTGCAATGTGGATAGATATATTGGACTTTATTGGACTTAAGAGATGAAATCCATGATTACAAATAATCTGCTATACAACATTTGGAATCTTTATATGATTAAATGTCTGAACATCAGTTTGTGAACAAAACCATTTAAAAGATATTGCACAGTTGTTGATTGGTATCATATGGTGAAAGAATTTTTTCCTGTCAAGTTTCTTTGCATAGTAAACCTTGGTTGTAATGTTGATTGAACTTTATTTAACTGTATTATATAACACATTATAAATTGAAAACATTTTATATTGGTTCACAAAAATCAAGCATCTTATCTACATCTAAAAACTGTCCTTTTTAAACTGAGTTTCATCAATACCAAGATATCTTTTAATGTAATGAGTGTTTGCCTTGATACAAATGTAATAAGTTGTATTTTATCTACCATGTATATATTGTGCTGAAATAAAAAAGTAACTTAGATGTCAAAACAGAAACTTGATTTACAGTTTAGAATAATAGGATGAAGTGTACATTATTGTTTATTTCAGTGGTAACTTTGCACCTTATCCTTAACAACAAATTGAATACTCTGCAAAGTCACCCAATACTATGCATCATTAGGATCGAATAGTTCTTTACAGTTCTGAGGTACTTGGCTTAACTTTGCTATAACAGTAATAATAACTTTGTTATTATTACTGTTGTTATAAACCATTAACAATTGAAAACAAATAACTTATTGTTGCTATTATTGCTATTTTCAAGTTTTACTGCTAAGAATACTTTCAAAGCAGTAATACCTGGACATAAACACCTAAATAACATGCACCATGCATTATCGCTATTGTAAACTATCATTGTCATCAAGTTCTCCAGACAAGATAGCTTCTTTACACAATATTGGGCAAAAGCTACAACACAACATTTAAACTAGAGAGCATGGATTTGAATGCTACATAAAGTTCTTTCAAATTAATCAATTTAATCCTTTTTGCATAAGTTGCTTGTACTCTATACTGACAAAATCACACAAAAAAAGAGAAAATAAATTTTCCTTTTTTTTTTTCGGAATTGGTTTATACAAAAATTTTTTATAGCTTTTCAAACCTTCAGTATACTTAAATAAATACAATTTCTCTAGCCTTTGAGACCGAGCATGACTCTGGATATAGTTTTAATATCCGTATTTTCGTTAAATATGCTGTCACATTTTCAATTTTATTTATTAGTTCATTTAAAAATGGATGTAAACCATTGATTTTTCTTTTTGATTATATAATTTTACTTTTTCTGTAATTATACCCTGTAACTTTTTGCAATAGCTACTTCATAACTTCCACCCAAATAAAACAGAAATAACTCATATTTTTAGAACTATTGCCATTGATAGTGATGTCTTCATATTTCCTATAAAAAAGAAATAATTACTTCTGAAAGTTAATATTACGTCAGGTCCAGTGTTAAAAATATGAAAAGTAATTACTTTTTTATTCTATTCATAAAAAGATTTATATTGTCTTCTTGAAAAATCATTTGTATCACTAGTTCTCTAAAATATTTCTATTTGAATAAATATTAAAACCTTGCTTTTGGCAGTCAACATTACATTCTAATTTTTTTTTAAGAAACAGCACGCACTTCATTTACTTGGTAAAAAATGTATACATTTCATTTGTTAAGAAATGTTACATAAAAGTATTACATAAAAGGCTTATATTTGTATAAAAGGTAAAATAACTATATTTGTATAAAAGATAAAAAATGCAATAATGCTTGAAATGTGATATTTGATACTTATATTTAAAAATGTAAAATTTACATTTAAATCAAGATTAACACTCTTTTGATAGTCGTACAAACAAATTATTATCTAATTAACAAGGTATCATTTCCTGATACCTAGATACTAAAATGATACTAAAATAAAATTGATATTTAAATCTGCCAGTAAATTAACGCAAGTTAAATAACAATAATTAATTAACATTCTGTTAATTAAATATTGCTATTTAATAACAAAAAATTATGTCTTCACAAATTGCCAAAATTAAAAACTTAAATACCTCAAGAACTGTAAGGAGTTGGATATTAAAAATATCAGGTTTTACAAATTTACATAAGGCATTTAACATATTTGAAAACTAGCTAAATCAAAAATATAGGGTAACATTTTTACTATTCTGCTGAATTATATTAATATTTGACATGACATGTCACACATTCCATCCACTCAATAAATCTTTTAGCAAACTGTTAACCATCATAGGAATCAAGATTCTTTTGAGAAAATTTTGAGAAAACATACATTTTATAATGAACCATCTCTACTACTGTCTTTTTTAGAATTTTATTTCTGGGTTTTTAAACTCTAAAGTTAATATACATCAATGGTCACCCAAATAAGAAGGCAAAGCATAGTTGTCATAGAGATTTTTGAAGAACTTGTACCAGTTGATAGCTGAAGAACATCTCAATGATTTTCAATAAAATCACTGAGATTTAAAATTTTAAATATTTTTTCTAAAACTAGATCAAAATATTATAGGATGGATTTATTAGAATTTTGACCACTCCTAGAATTTTAAGATAAATTTATAAAACATTATAAAAGCAATTATTTAGAAAAAATTTAAAAAAATCTAAATTCAAATTAGAAGATATAAATTACATTGTTTATAAATATACATATTATATATATATATATACATATTATATATATATATATATATATATATATATATATATATATATATATATATATATATATATATATATATATATATATATATATAATATTTTTTATATATTTATAACATTTTTAAAATATAAGTAAAAATAAAAAATAAATGTATTGAATAGCAGCATTTATTAAATGTAAAAATTAAATTTTTGAAGGAAAAAAAAAAAAAAAAAAAAAACAACAACAAGAATTTAGTCTTATTTAAGCTATACTTAAGTAATTTAATTTGTAGGGCAAAAATACTCCTGAGTATATGTTTTCTTTTTGAGAAAACTAAATTAAAAAAATATATAATTAATTACTAGATGTTTATATGCACTTTAAATATTTTTTAATGCATAACCGTTCCCAATATTATAAAATGATAATTATGCAAAACTAGAGAATACAGACAAGTGAATTGTTAGATAAAAATAAAACATGATGTTTGTGTTTGATCCAGTCACAAGTTGTAATATAGCTGTGTTAAAATATGATGAAATCTATTGCAATAATTTTTCTGTCACTTTACAGTTTTATATGTAAAAGCGAATTTTCAAAAAGCAATACATTTAGCTTTAAATAAACAAAAATATATATTACTTTAGATGAAATTTTTTTCTCAATTTTTTAAATTTAAATTAAATTATAAATATGTTTTGGTATCAGTTTTACGATGATTGAGCCAATGATTAAAATAAATTACATAGTAATAAATATGGGAAAATTGTCAATTTTTTTTTTTTTAATATTTTGAGTATCATTCATAGACTTAAAGAAGAATTCTTATAAAATGAACTTTGGCTTATCCAAGCAATTATTTTACGACATTTTTAAATGAAACAAGAAAATTAAAAATCATTATTTACAAAAAATAATTTAAATTAACGATCCCGTATGTTTTCAGCGTATAAAAAGCGTTAAACAATATTATGGTCATGTGACTTACGTAAAACAAGATAAATATATTATATATTATGATCACGTGTGATTAAAATTATACATTTGTAAACCGGCAACTGGAACATTCTTTAAAAAACATGGCGGATTTCATTTTACAGATTGGTCAGAGAATATTATTTACCTCGCGTCCTGTAGGAAGATGCTTTGCCAACTTTACTTTTGCAAAATTTCCCTTGCCTATTGTCTTAATAAGTTTATACTTGCCAACATAAATATCTTCATTAGAACTTGTTGTAGATCTATTTCGAGATTTTGAAGCTGAATGGGAATCCTCAATCTTAAAATAATTATATGAACAATTTAGATATACAACTTTGATGCTTTTTCTATTTTGTCAAAAAAAAATGTATACCTTTTTAACATTAGATCTATGACTATGATGAGATGAGTGTCTTGTGTGATCTGTATTGTCAACAGACACTGGTTGTCTAACAGAAGACATCTTTTTTTAATACTCAAGTATAATTCGCCTCTGAATTAAATTCTAGGAGGCTGTGTGAAAAACACACACAATCATTATCTGCATATATAGTTCCTTCTGTGCATATATATGTACATATATGTTATATTGTATATAAGAGACGCGTGTAAACGATTGACACGGAAAACCCTTCTTATTTTTACGACGGACCTAAACATCAAAATAAAGCAAACAAATATTATTATCGTACCCAGTCTCCTGTATTTCTGCGAAAACTTTACGATCTTACATCGCACTGCGTTTCAGATTATAAATGTGCACGCCAGAAAAATCTTTTAGAATAAAAATAGAACAAGTAAATTGTAGTAATTTAAAATATACTTTACTATTTTCAATAATAATATGTAAATATTAAAAATATTTAATTTTATTCAGTGATGTGCCAGTCAACTACAGTAAACAGTTCAATCTTTTAATGAATTAAAGGATAACCTCTGAGTATAACCGCCTTGATATAACAAGTTGCTTTTATTCGCGGTACCAGCCAGAAATTGATAACCATTTATTTTAATTTATACAAATACCAAATAAATCGTTGGTTTACAAATAGTATTTTACAGTTGTTATTATATTACCATAAATTTTCTTAAACTAGTTTGTTTTTCAGGAATTGTTTTTTAAAATAAATTCTATTTACAAATATATAAGTACTTAAAAATAACAATAAATTTCATTTGAACTTTGTTATTGCAAATTAAAGCAAAAGCAGAAACGGAAAACCTTTGTTTTTATAAAAATTTAAAGTGTTGAACGTTAAAAGTTGGGCCTAAAATATGTTAAAAGTCAGAGTTTAAAATATCTGTAAAAAACTGGTTTTCACAGACCAAAAAAAGCGCAAAAACATAAAACTTTTTTATCTAACTTACGTTACTTAAATTAAATTTAATTAAATTTTTGAATGGGTAATACTTGGTGAAAAATATAAACTGTTCTTTTATAATGCGCATGTATTAACAACAATATAAAGTTAATCCTCATAAAAACATGTAACCATGTAAAACGTAAGAGATTTTATATTGCTTGCTGAGGACCTATACATTAGTTCAAAATGAGAAAGTTCAGTTAGAAGGTTTAAATCAAACGCGTAACTCATAAGGATAAAAAATATTAAATATAAAAAAGTTAAAACTAATTCATCTAGAGTGTTTGAGATAATAAAACTGAGCATTTTCATGATAATCTTTATTTAAACTTGAGTAAAAAATTTTACTAATATTTAGATAGCATTTAAATTTATAAATTATAAAAACAAAGTACTATAAATACTTAGAAAACAATTTATAAAATTTATATTGTATTATTAATATAATATAATTATTTTTTTAAAATAACTTTAAAAAAGACTTTTTTACCCTTTAAATAAAAAAGTCTTTCTTTAAGTTATTTTAAACAACGTAATATTTTTTTTAATTTAAGATGAGTTTGTTCATCTTTATAGGTTTTACTATAGTTATTAGGAAATATTTATAAGTACACAATGATCAACTTAAAGTATATGGTCAATTTTCAGCATTTTTGTCGAAATCTATAAGAACAGTTTGAATGCGGTTTTAAAAAAAAAAGTATAGCGACCTATCATCATACGATTAATTAAAAAGTTGTATTGTAACAAAGAATGATTAACAAATATTGTTATGTTAACTATTATTCAAACTATTCATGATGTGGTGTTTTTTTTTTCATTTCCAGTCAATGAAGACTTGTAAACAAATATATATGATGCCCTCAGTTGTTATTTATCCAAAATATTTTTAAAGAAATAATTAAAACATTTAGAGCAAGCTAAAATATTTTATTCGATAAAAACCGAGACCAACTATACACATTTAAATTCAAGTTTATATAAATCGAGTGCAGAGTCATCTATACCAACAGTATATGGAAAGAAATCCAACAAAATGTATCTAATAGAATTGGTAAAGCAACAGTTAATTACCAGAATGATTCATGCAGCTATATTTTTGAGTTGTTGGGTTTAAACATAATATTACAGTTGGTTTGTTGAACTAAAGAAAACACCTTATCAACGGCATTATTATTGTTGTTAGTGAAGACCTTTATTATTGATCTTGAGTATTGCGCTCTTGTCAGTGGAGACTTTTTAAACATATGGAATACTTATTTGCTTGAGTACATACATCGACTATCTTATAGCAAGCTGCTACAAGGGGGTGCGCTGCTACATCGACTGAGTGTTTAGCATGCAACCTTTTTTCTTTTAATATTCCAATAAATAATCCTTAAACCCTAACAAAAATTCTCCAAAGTTGACTAAAGCTCAAAATAAATTTAATTTGAGCCGCTCAACTCCAGCATTACCATAGTTTATAATTATCCATGCAGCATCCAAAATGTGTCTACAGAATGAACCATGCAGCTTTATTGTATAGACCTTTCATTCAAGGTCTATTTATTTAAGGTCTTATAATTAATGTCTTTAAATAAAAAGAAGAGATTTAGTACGGTTTTTAAATAAAAAGAAGAGATTTAGTACGGTTTTTAAATAAAAAGAAGAGATTTTGTACGGTTTTTAACTCAAAACAATAATCAAAGTTGTGACGTTTTCATTTCTAAAATTGAATGTAGCAGGTTGCAAACTGGAGTTTGCTGATAGCTTTAAACAACTTGGTTATAATATGGAAAAAAAGATAAAAAATCAATATACTCGAAAAAATATTTTGATAAGGCGTTTTTACAGATGTTCAAGCTTAAGTTTAAAGTAACATTATTCACATTGCATATGGTTATAAAATGCTACCCTGTGGAGCAGTTTTAACACCAGATTTATCACACCTGCAATATTGCTACAATAAATGAGCAAAAATGTTTTTCGGATATGAAAAATATTGTAGCCTCACTCGGATGTTTTTAGAATTAAGGCTACCATCTTTTGATTCTATTTTGTTAATTTTACTACTTATGAAATAGGAATTATGAAGAATCAACGGAACAAAAAAGATGTTAAATACATGTAAGCAGGGCCGGATTAACCTATAGGTCAACTAGGCTGTAGCCTAGGACCTCGTATTTTTTAAATTTATAGATCTTAAATTTATATTAAAAAAATAAATGTTGTTCAATAATAAAAATTATTTAATAATAATAAAATGTTATTTAATAATAAACATTATTTTGTAAATTTGTGTATTTATTTTTAGCGTAATGAAGAGAGTTTAAAAATTTGACGCTTTAAAACGTAAAAGAAAGCAAAGAAAAAACCAAAATAATTACCCAACTTGGAGCATTTTTCAACTTCTTTGTATTCGATAACTTTAGAACGGAAGAAGCAATTTCTGAACGTCAAAATGAAATCTTTGTATCGAGATCAGGAGTAACATTTAAAAAAGACATTTTTGCTTTTTCAAATTTATTTCATTTTCACATTTGAAAAAACTATTTTTGTTTCAAAAGCATTGACATTGAAAATGTCAATTCTTTTTGAAACAAAAATAGAATTAAAATTAAATAGATGTATATTAAATAGAGGTATAAATAACCCCATATTGGAATATGGGGTTTTTAATAGATGGAACATGAACCAACATAATAAAAAAGAAGATTGGTTTTGCTCTAAATTATTGTTTATTGGGGAATGAGCGAATGGCGAGAAATACAATCATGAATGGTTAATATATTCGCCCTTGAAAGGAAGTGTTTTTTGCTTTGTGTTTATAGTTTTTAAGATGTTTAATTATTGCTTCGCAGCTAATGGTTTAAATGATTGGAAAATGCTGTTTTGTTAATGAAATATTATGCAAGCATAGAGGTGCTTTAATGGCTTATTAATTTTCCTATTAAAACTTTCTCGTTAAAGCCTCTTAAGTGACAATACATTAGGCAATTAATAAATGAAAGAGACAAGAAAAGAACAGAAATATTGGTTAATGGTTCTGAAACGAATAGTAGCAGTTATATGTAGATTAATTAAAATAAATCTTCCAGTTAGACGTTTAAAGGAATTTTTTGACGTAGAAGGTAATGAAGATTTTATTGGTCTTGAAAAACTGATTGCCCAATTTGAATCTTTTCTGACAGAAATAAACAACAAGTTAAGAAATAAAGAACAAGTTAAGAAATAAAGAACAAGTTAAGAAATAAAGAACAAGTTAAGAAATAAAGAACAAGTTAAGAAATAAAGAACAAGTTAAGAAATAAAGAACAAGTTAAGAAATAAAGAACAAGTTAAGAAATAAAGAACAAGTTAAGAAATAAAGAACAAATTAAGAAATAAAGAACAAGTTAAGAAATAAAGAATAAGTTAAGAAATAAAGAACAAGTTAAGAAATAAAGAACAAGTTAAGAAATATAGTCAACTTCATACACATTATACCTTAATACCTCTCCTAAACAGTTTGCGATTTGCTCATTTCATTGATGGAAAAAAAGTTGTAGAAGCCAATAAGGAATATGTGAAAAAATCAAAATACTTTGGAATTTTTGTTGATTCCGCTTTCGATGTATCGTAAACAGATCAACTTTCTGCAATTCTTAGATATCTTAACACAATGGAGCCTATAGAAAGAAACTTATATTTTATAAATATTGCGGATAACACTGGCGCAAATTTAGCTGACACGACAGTCAATTTTTAGTGAATACAGCTGGATTTAACTTTTTAGACTGTATACCTCAATCATACAATAATGCTTCTAACATTAGTGGAAAGTATAAAGCGATGCAAAAAAATATTTAAAAAACAAATAACGAAAAGGCAAAGTTTTTACCATGTGCAGGACGTTTGCTAAATTTGGTTGGGTTGTATGCTGCTGATGCTTGTATAGAATCTATTAATTATTTTGTAGTAGTACAGATTTGCGTTTTTTTTTCTTCGTTTTTAAAAAGATGGAGTATTTTACAATAATATCTGGAAAATGGGTGAAACCTTTATCAAAAACAACTCTGTCAAGGTAAAAAGAATAATTATGAAAATATAATGGGACGCATTAACGAGTATATCTGACGAAGATATTTATACAGCAGCACAAGCAGAGACGCAAAATAATCATTCAAAAAAGAAAGAATTTGAGTTTGCAGTAAACAATGTTTTGGAAAAGTATTTTAAATATAATAAAGTATCCAAATAAATGAAAAATTCAAAAATATATTTAAATGTGTGCTGTTCATTGTTGTCACCACTTGCTGTTTTTTTT